CAGTAAACAGTACCTTAATCAAGGAACTACCAGAGAAGAAAATAGAACAAAACCCCCACCCCCACCAACACTGGCAGGGCATGCCACAATATATAAACAGAGAGCAACCCCCATTCCATTCTAGCACTGAAGATGTTATCTAGCCGAGTGATGAAACGTTTGCAAGAAAACAACCAAGCTCAAAGAATCCCAAGGACTCTGAAGAAGCAAGGACTCCTTTCGTTTTTCAGGTGCCCATTGTAAAGAGCAATATTGTTTCTGAAGGATGTTGCTTCCTTTATTTCAAGGAAAATTGGAAGTGGAGGAGAAAGAAAGTGAACAGGAAGTTTTTACTTTGGATCAGGTCATGGCCATGTCAATAATTGGCTAGTTCTAGGTTTTAGAACTTATCCCAGGTATACTCAAGAATGTTCCATTGATTAATATGCAAAGGAAAGCAAGCCAGGGGGCTTAAGATGAGGGAGGCAATTTTGTGGCTTGCTTTGACTCTGTCTAGATCACACACAGTTTTGTTTTGGTTTTTTTGCTTATCATTTAGCTCTTCATCTCTAGCACACCTTGTTCTATTTCTTAGCCTCTGTGTTCTTGACTGCCTCTCATGTGAGTGATTCTTGGTGGATGTAGAGGTTTCAGAAGACCTTCATTAGTTTGACACTTTATAGATGACATATGAAAAGTGTGAGCCAGTCCTCTGGTTGTATCTTGAGTTTTCACTGATGTTATTGCACACAGATAACAAAAGGGTGATATTTTACTTCATCAAATTCTGAAGTCATTCCTTCATAAGCTTACTAGAGTTTATTAATTACAAACATTAACAACATTTGAAGAATGCAGCATATCTGTTTAACCCAAGATAATCTCTGTAGTATTATATAAAACTATTATCAAGCAAAGCAAGTTTTATTGAAACCTAAAAAGCTCTTGCAGAAGTGCAATTTAACTACATCTTGGTGGATATAGAGGTTTCAGAAGACCTTCAGCAGATCCCTTTGGAATTTCATGAGGCATGGATTTTTTAAAATCGATTTCAGCAATTGATCAAGAATTGGTCCTGAAAATAACCCACTAATGGCATTACACTCTGCTTAATTACACCATATAAGCAGGAACTTTTCTGGATTGTATTGTATTTGGTACCTATACCTTCTTGGTAGTCTTGCACGATTAATCATTCCTTTTGGATAAATGTTTTTGAAAAAATTGGGAAAAATCAGCCAGTAATCTTTGTCAATGAATCTTATTTATTGTCTTTTTTTCTAAGGCATATACATTAGTGTTACAAAAGAAATTGATTTAGGTCCTGTTGTTAACCTCATGGTTGGGTTAGAGCAAATGGAAAAATAAAATACATATTTCTTTGCATTAGTGTTATTTAAAAATGTGACAAATTGTTGTGGTTAAAAAAATCAGCAGTTTTGAATACCTGTAGGTAAACAATTATTGAAATGTAGTCACAATTTCTTAGCTATATTAATAATATTTTTCCTAATAGATTATCTTGGTCAGTATAGATAAAATTCTGGTTGAATATAGTTGTTTAATATTTTATATTTTTCTTCAGATCTCATATTCAACCATAAATGTTAAATTTCCAGTTTATTTTATTTTATTTTTTTGGCAACTTTTTTTGTCTTTAAATTCTGCATTTGTTTTAACTTTTTGTACTGATGTTTTGTTTAGTAAAGTAAAATCTGTATGGATGTATAATTGAATGAATGAAAGAAATGTACTAGTAGTGTGTTATTTTAAAGATTTTCAGTTTTATGTTATGGATTTATAAACTTAAGTCTTTCTGGTTTTAGGTTGATGCTCATAAAAATAAAGATGGTTTTGATGTATATGAAGGTACCTCTGAAGGTAAAAAATGCAGTATGCATCTTTTTTGTAAAATATTTTTTTCCTATCCTTCACTTTCTTCATGAATACTTCATGATCAGAGGTGGTACTTGAAAAAGAAATTCTTTTAAAGCAGCCCAAAATTATGTGTGTGTGTTTAAAAAAAAAAAAAGCACTTGTTTTGATGTGTTAGTTTACCTGTAGAAAGCTTCAGTATTAAATATGAATGGAAAAATTCCATTGCTCCATGGTTCAAAGAGCTTAAGATGGAACAAAAATGTAAGAAATCATTTTGTTTTGCACGAATGCAATAAACTTCAGAAACAAAAGTTATTAGAAATGATCAAGCCAGTCAAAACCATAGGAAATGAAGCATAAAATGTAATGGAAAAAATAAACCTAACAAAATGGAGACTGTGCCCCTCCCTGGTCTTTTGGATATGGCCAAGGTCAAACCCAGTTCCTCTCTTTGCCTAATCCTATCAGACTCAAATTGACCCTCCCTGCCCCAGACAAAGCCCCCCTCCCTCCACAATCCCATCTAGACCAAGAATAGAAGCCAGCTCAAGGGCAGCCCTTACAAGGGAATTGTTGATGACTGCAACATTCCATCTCCTTTAACAATGGACATCCCCAGCTGTGCAGCCCCTTCCAAGCTGTGCAGCCTCATTGAAGATCAAGGATGCAGGGGGCAAACAGCCACAGCCACTCAGTCTTGAGCCGAATCCTGTTCTGCTCCATCCAGATCCGAACAGCCTCCAGACATCAGATTGAAACTCCTTAAAATTGACACATAAACCATTGTTCCCTACTAGCTGTCTCTCCTGAATTCTGCCTCTCCATTTCCTGAGGAAATCAGCTCTTCTGGGGGCTCTTCCAGCCCAGATCCCAAGACTGCTCTCTCCTCTCCTGAAGAACTACTCCACAAGAAAGCATGAAAATGGAAGTTCTCATTTTGGGCATGATACTCCCCACTAAATGTACAACAGGGTGTTAGAAACTAAGCTGGTTTATTTTATTTAAACTGAAATAGTGTAAAGTCTATATTAGACCCACCTGAAAATACACTTAGACTTCCTAGAGACAACATCAGATGTTTAAGTGCCTACACAATGCAGTAAAAATACTTCCTAGGCATTCGTAACACATTGTTAAAGCAATTATATAATTAGAAATGTTCAAGCATCTTGATATTATTTGTAAACAAAGTTATGTTTTGGGGGGTCTTTTCCATCACCAGAACCTGTTGCTTTACCAATTCCTACTCGATCACGAAGCAATCATCTGAAACGTCCAAAGTTGGGGAAAAGAATCCAAGAACCTGAAATTCCTGAAGCTGAAGATGTAAATGCTTCTCAAACATCAGGAAACAGGTACACTATGTGATTCAATAATATTAGAAATGAAAAATATCTAAATATGCCTTGTACATATTTGTACAGAAGGATAGTATGTCACTTCAGCTTACGTGTACCAAAATAACCTATATTTATTGCTTTTAAACAGCAGCAAAATCCAGGAAATGAATGTGGACCTGCATGAAACTTAGCATCAGTAGTAGTGCAATACCTTTTATTAGGTTCAATCAAAGTAGCACAAAACAGCGTGGCAAGTTTTAAAGTTCTCCAGAACTCTTTATCAGGAAAGATGTTACAAAAAGCTCAGGATGGGGAAGAAGCAAGAAAGTTTAAGTATCAGACTAGATGTTTCAGCTGTGATTCAGCTGTGATACAGCTGTGATTCAGCTGTAGTTCATAACTTATCCCAAGTTGAGGATGGAAGACTGAAAGCACTAGGCAGTAGCAGGTATTGTCAGTGTCATGTTACAAATAGCATTCTTGGACAAAGAATGATTCTGCTTCCTGCCTGTCTCCACCAGCTCTGCAAATAGTTTATTATTTACTTCCAGTCTTTTTCCTGCATGCTTGAATAGCTCAACCTGTTAGAAAGCAGATCTGAAGGGTGCCAACCATTGTTCTTTGCCTGTAAATAATGTATGTAACTTAACACAGCCCTAAAAATCAAGCTCTGTGCCTTTCAGTATTACTCAGTAGTTATTGGTTGTTTACATGTATTTTTACTGCTTCTCCTGCTGCACAGATTGGATCCTATTACTCATGTATCTGAACGTTCAGAAGAATTAATAGATGAGATGGAAGAAAAAGTGATGGAGAGCGAGCAGGAAAAGTTAGTGGAGAGTCCAAAACACTCAGTCCAAGATACAGCCCAGCTGTGTCTTCCATCAGAGAAGCAAGATGATAAAGAGGTATGATTATATCTTTAAAAGTACAGATTATTTATTACTAGTATTTTTAATCCTGCTTCTTTGACAACTGTCTTCCATACGATCACATATCATTTTAAAAAAGTGACATTCCTTGCCATAAAGCTTAGCAACAAGATAAAGATAACTTACAAAGGAAGTAGAGTTAGGGAGAAAAGGAGAGGACTGAACTACAAACAGGTTAGAAGACAGAGCAATACAAATAAAATTATTATTACATGTACCAAAATAACTAACATACATACATACATATAAAATAAATAAATAAATATAATAATA